CATGCAGCATGTCAGCAGCGTGCTGCACCTTCAAATCCGAAGGCCGAAGAATCCCCCCCTGACATCACTCTGAGCATTCTGGAGCTCAGACATGGCAATAAATCTCCTGCTGCCCTCTACTATAGACACAGGAGAGTGTGTCCATCTTTCTACATACACCTAGGCTGTTATTACATAGCACAAAAGAGCAGAAAGACAGTACAAAAAGGCAGGGGGGTGCCCCTGACATCACCTCTGTGCGTTCTTGAGCACAGACATGGCTATAAATCACCTTCTACCACAGGCATGGCAGATGATGTTTATCATTCTACATACATCCTGCTGAGCCTAGGCTGTAACTGACATGCTCTATTTAGTACATAGTACAACAAGGCATCCTCCCTGACATCACCCCCACGCATTCTTGAGCAAAGACATGACTATAAATCCTGATCAAGTAAAGGCACAGTAGATGGGTGTCTCCCATTCTGCATACATTGATCTGAGCCTAGACTACAACAGATATTACCTACTTAGTATATAGCACAAAAATGCAGAAAGACCATACAAAAAGGTAGAGGACTTCCTACCTTACAAAACGCAGTGCATTCATGAGTACAGACATGGCTATAAACCACCCTCTACTGCTTGCACGGTAGATGGTGTCTATCATTCTACATACATTGTGTTGAGCCTAGGCTACAACTTATATTAGCTACTTAGTACAAAGTACAAAAAGGCAGATGAATTCCCCCCAACAGCACCCAGTGCCTATATACAGCTCTGCTATAGGCACAGTAGCTGGTGTCTATCGTTCTACATGCATCTGAAAGAGCCTAGGCTACAATTGACACTCTCTGCTTAGTACATAGCATAAAAAGGCAGAAAAAAACAGTACAAAAAGACAAAGGAATCCCCCTGTACATTCTTGAGCCTAGACATGGCTATAAATCACCCCCTGCTATAGGCACTGTATATGGTGTATATCATTCTACATGCATTTAGAAGAGCCTAGGCTACAAATGATGCTCTCTGCTTAGTACATAGCATAAAAAGGCAAAAGACAGTACAAAAAGGCAGAGGAATCCCCCTGTACACTCTTAAGAATAGACATGGCTACAAACCCCCTCTACTATAGGCACAGCAGATGGTGTCTATTACCATACATACATACATCTATGATTCTAAATACATTGTGCTGAGCCTAGGCTACAACTGACTAGCTACATAGTACATGGCACAAAAAGGCAGAAGGACATAGCATAAAAAAGGCAACGGAATTCTCCGTAACAGTACCCAGTGCATTCTTGAGCCTAGATATGGCTATAAATCACCCTCTGCTATAGGTACCATAGATGGTGTCTATCATTATACATACATTGTGCTGAGCCTAGGCTACAACTGAAAGTAACTATTTAGTACATAGCACAGAAAAAAGCAGAAAGACATAGTATAAGAAGACAGATAACCCCCCCTAACATCATCCTGTGCATTCTTCAGCATTAACATAGCTATAAATTACCCTCTGCTGTAGGCACAGCAGGTGGTGTCTATCATTCTACACACATATTGATGAGCCTAGGCTACAATTGATGTTCTCTGCTTAGTACATAACATAAAAAGGCAAAAAGACAGTACAAAAAGGCAGAGGAATCCCCCTGTACATTCTTGAGCCTAGACATGGGTATAAATCACCCTCTGCTATAGGCACTGTAGATGGTGTCTATCATTCTACATGCATTTAAGATGAGCCTAGGCACAAATGAAGCTCTCTGCTTAGTACATTGCATAAAAAGGCAAAAAGACAGTACAAAAAGGCAGTGGACTCTCCCTGTACATTCCTGAGCATAAACATGGCTATAAACCCCCCTTTACTATAGGCACAGCAGATACATACATCTATTATTCTACATACATTGTGCTGAGCCTAGGCTACAACTGACTAGCTACACAGTACATGGCACAAAAAGGTAGAAGGACATAGCATAAAAAGGCAGCAGAATTCTCTGTAACAGTACCCAGTGCATTCTTGAGCCTAGATATGGCTATAAAGCACCCTCTTCTATAGGTACCATAGATGGTGTCTATCATTCTACATACACTGTACTGAGCCTAGGCTACAACTGAAAGTAACTACTTAGTACACAGCACAGAAAAGCAGAGAGCCATAGTATAAAAAGACAGGGGAACCCCCCTAACATCATCTTGTGCATTCTTGAGCATTGCCCTGGCTATAAACCCCCCTCTACTATGGGCACAGCAGATTGTGTCTATCGTTCTACCTGCATCTTGATGAGCTTAATACATAGCATAAAAAGGCAGAAAGACTATGCAAAAAAGCAGAGAGATCCCCCTGTACATTCCTGAGCAAAGACATAACTAAATCCCCCTCTACTATAGGTACAGCAGATGGTGTCTATCAGTATGCATACATCTTGACAGCTTAGGCTACAACTGAGGCTCTCTGCTTAGTACATAGCATAAAAAGGCAGAAAGACAGGATAAAATGCCAGAGGGATCCCCCTGCACATTCTTGAGCCTAGACATGGCTATAACCCCCCCCCCCCCCCACACACACACACACACACACTATAGGCACAGCAGATGGTGTATATCAATATACATACATTGTGCTGAGCCTAGGCTACAACTGACAGTAGCTACTTAGTACATAGCACAAAAAGTAGAAATCCATAGTACAAAAAAGACAGGGGAATCCCCCCTAACATCATCTTGTGCATTCTTGAGCATTGACCTGGCTATAAATCCCCCTCTAATATAGGCACAGCAGATTGTGTCTATCATTCTACCTGCATCTTGATGAGCCTAGGCTACAACTGATGCTCTATGCTTCGCATATATCATAAAAAGGCAGAAAGACAGTACAACAAGACAGAGGAATACCCCTAACCTCACCTTGTGCATTCTCGAGCATAGATGTGGCTAAATCCCCCTCTACTATAGGCACAGCTGTAAGTGTCTATCAGCATACATACATCTTGATGAGCCTAGGCTACAGCTGACATTCACTTATTAGTACATAGCATACAAAAAGGCAGAAAGACAGGATAAAAAGACAGAGGGATCTCCCTGTGCATTCTTGTGCATAGACATGGCTATAAATCCCCCTCTGCTATAGGTTCAGTAGACGGTGTCTATCAGTATGCATACATCCTGATGAGCCTAGGCTACAACTGAGGCTCTCTGCTTAGTACATAGCATAAAAAGGCAAATAGATTCCACTGTGAAATCATGTGCACAGACATGGCTATAAATCCCCCTCTGCTATAGGTACAGTAGATGGTGTCTATCAGCATACCTACATCCTGATGAGCCTAGGCTACAACTGACGCTCTCTGCTTAGTACATAGAATAAAAAGGCAGAAAGGATAAAAAGGCAGAGGGATCCCCCTGTGCATTCTTGTGCATAGACATGGCTATAAATCCCCCTCTACTATATCGGGCACAGTAGGTGACCTCCATCATTCTACATCGTAGGCTACACCTGAGGGCGGCTCGCACGTTAGTACATAGCGGCGACCCCCAGCAGCACCCGCTGAGCCTCCTCTTCCTAAAAAGGACAGCGGCGGTTCTGTCTGCTAAGTTTCACATCCCCTCCAACTCTCCCCTGGCTTCCAATGAATGGCGTGTGGTGACCGTATAGAAGAGCCGGGGGACTTACCGCATAGCAGAGCCTGCGCTCACAGAACACCGAGTCTCCGAACATGGTAGCCGTGTGCTGAGTCCGGGGAAGAAGGCGACTTCTCTCCTATTAGACCCACAGACGTGACACCACCAACACACCTTGCTGCCACATCATGGCAATCCACAGGCAGCCTTGTCTCCGGTCCTCTTCTTCCAGTACTGTATCCTCCAGGAGGAGCCCTGATTAGGGTTAGTCATAGACGATGGAGGAGCCTGCTCTCCGCATGAGTGTGAGCCTGGAGCAAGGCGTGAGACCAGAGAGGGCGGGGGATCGGGGCAGAGGGAGGGGCGGAGGAGGGGGCACGGCCCCGCCCACACCTATACACCGGGCATTGCTTAGGATCCGTACAGGGCTAGAGCCCCGCCCACGCCTATACACCGGCACTGCTTATGTTCTGTAAACTGTGAGGGCCCCGTCCACACCTATGCACCTGGCACTGCTTATGTTCTGTAAACTGTGAGGGCCCCGTCCACACCTATGCACCTGGCACTGCTTATGTTCTGTAAACTGTGAGGGCCCCGTCCACACCTATGCACCTGGCACTGCTTATGTTCTGTAAACTGTGAGGGCCCCGTCCACACCTATGCACCTGGCACTGCTTATGTTCTGTAAACTGTTAGGGCCCCGTCCACACCTATGCACCTGGCACTGCTTAGGCTTCGTACACTGTAGGGCCCCGTCCCACCCTATGCCCTGGCACTGCTTACTGTTACCCCACCACACCTATGCACCTGGCACCTGCTTAGGCTCCGTACACTGCTAGGGCCCCGCCCACACCTTTACACAGGTCACTGCTTAGGCTCCGTACACTGCTAGGGCTGGGAGCAGCAACAAGTGCTGAACGGATGACAGACACAGTAGGCTCTCCACAGGGAGCACACTGTCTGCAGCTTGATACGCAGACATTCACCACAGACCAACACATTATGGTGACACTGACACTTGCCTCTGGTTCTACCATACATTCTATTCACGTATAGATTCGTATATAGAAAAGTCCCCTCTATTGCTCTCAGCCTTCTCCATTTCCCCTCTTGAGGGCTGCTGGATTTGTTTTGGGTCCCCCTACGCTTGCACAGCCAGGCAACACGCATTTACCACACTTGCACACTTGTAGTCAGTAAACAGCCCTTGAGCTGTTTTCTGTTTAGTTGTCATCAGTGTTACTAAACCCACAACAGTAAAATCAGTCTATATGCAGTAAAGCAAGTTTGTTATACTCTTTGTGGAACCTAAGGGGTTAATCTTCTGCGTTGTGTAAAAATGCTGTTTGATCCTTTCTTCTCTGATCCTCCCCTTCTAATGTCCCCAATCCTTTTCTGATAGAATGGAGCCTTGGGTGCAAGCTACACATGCTCAGTTTGGTGTGTATTGCCAGAGAGGTTTTTTTTTTTTGTTTGTGTTTTTGGGAGGGTGAATGTGATCAGCTCAGGGCCAATCAGCGCTGTCCAGACAGAGGTCAGGGGTTCTGCATTCTCCTAGAGCACAGGTGTCAAACTGGCGGCCCTCCAGCTGTTGCCAAACTACAAGTCCCATGAGGCATGCAAGATTGACAGTTACAAGCATGACTCTTAATAGTAGAGGCATGATGGGACTTGTAGTTTTGCAACAGTTGGAGGGCCACCAGTTTGACACCCCTTTCCTAAAGCAAAGTGAAAACTCCTCCTACAAGCTTTAACCAGTGCTGGGCTGGACAATGATAGAAGTCACAAGACTGCTCTAACTTCTGATGAGAAAAGGTATTTAGCAGTTTATATTTACTGAAATAATTGCATTTCCATGTTCCGTGTACTGTGGGAGACCAGATATAGTGAATGCAGGGTCCTGGGTTTAGTAACACTTTAAGGGGGTTAACAACTTTGATGGGGTCTAGGGATATATGGGATGCCCAAGGACCTGCAAACTTGAGGACAACTTCTTAGCAACCTGTACACTGTACAAAAAGATGTGGATTCACAAAATATAGCACTGTCTCTTTAAGAAGCTCTAACATCCCCTTTGTGTACCTCCTCAGACGTCAGATGAATCCTTCCTCTTCACCTGGCTGCACTGAGAGTATCCCTGGGCAAGGGATTCCAAGAGCTGACTTTTAAAAAGCAGCTACTCTGCCTGACCCATAAAAAACAGCTACGTTGCCCATAATCCCACGTTGCCCCCGCCGCAGCCCGGTTTCACCGGCCGTCCTGTATTCCAGGCGCTGGCATCTTCAGTGTGGGCACCTGGCTGTGACAGCTTGTGGCTTCACAGCCGGGCACCCACTGCGCATGCGCCAGTAGCGCTGCGCTTCCTGAATGGCCCCGTTGTCTTCTGGGACCTGTCACGTGTTCCACAAGACTACGGGGAGGGAGGGTAGGAGGGTTTTGCTTCCAATCACCTAGGTGATCGCAGCGGAAGTGGGAGCGGGTACCTGTCAAATTCGGATACTCGTCCCCCCCCCTGCTCCCCAAAGGTGCCAATCCTTAATCGGGAGCACGGGACAAATCTTTAAAGTGGAACTTCCCCTTTTGGGTGGAACTCCGCTTTAAGTAGTCCCGGATGAGAACTAGTTGGGTCTTGCACTTGACCGTCCTCTCCCTATATCTGGCCCAGGGGGTGTAGAAGTACTCACACTGTCCTGCCCTGTTACCTTAATGGGTTGGTAGCAGCTTTCAGGCCTTACGCTGAGCTGGCTCCTTTCCTGCTGCACAGGATGTCCTCCCTACGGCTTGGTTCACTTATATGCGGGTGGTACCGCTGCGGATCCTCATGAAAATCTGTGCAGCCGCACCACCCGCATAGAGGAATGTGGACCCGCAGGCGGGTGCCATTAATTCTAATGGCATGCCGCCTGCACGGGAAAACTCAACTGTATTGGGAACCTAGGTTCCTGTGCGGGCTGCGTTTTCAGAAGAAGTGCAGGGACTTCTTCCCTGCATGTTATGGGGCACGGGAGTTCATTCAAATTAATGGGTTCTCGTGCCATCGCGCAAAACGCTGCCCTCACGGCTGATATTTTTGTGAAGCAGGGGTAAGCCATGGTTCACATCTGTGCGGTAGTGTGGGCCACAATTTGCACGGGCACAAGAGCCCATTCATTTGAATGGACGTCCGTGCCCTGGTACACGCAGGGAAGAAGTCCCTGTACTACTTCAGAAATCACAGCCCGCACAGGAACTGAGGGTCCTAGTACAGTTGCGATTTCCAGTGTGGGTGGCGTGCCATTAGAATTAATGGCATCTGCCCACGGGTCCCGCATTCCTCTGTGTGGGTGGTACAGCTGCAGGCATTTGTGCAAGGGTGAACTGAGGGTAAGAGGCTGTGGAACAGTGGAGATCCTCCTGTCCAGCAACTAGCCTGTAGGTAGGCTCCCCTCCATGGGGCCCCCTCCCAGGCTCCACAATTCAGCCTTCTCTTAGTCCATCTTCTATCCGACTCCCCTGATCCTAAGGCTGTGCCACATTTCAGGGTTGTCCTTGGTCACCATGCAGCAGAGTGTGGTACGTTTTGTAGCACGTTTGGCACGCAACAAAATGTGCACCTGCAACCCGTGCTTGGGGTACCATTAGCAATTAGTGGCATTGTAAGTGTGATGTGCATTTAATGTGCACTTGTCGTGCGGTTCGGAAATACCAAATGAGATCGGAGCCTTAGAGGGTGGCTACATTTGTTCTCTATGGTCTCTCCATATGTAAGAACCCCTTCGTGCTAGCTCCTGAGGTGGACTAGGGACTATGGGATTTGTAGTGTATATAGAGCAGTGTACATGACTGCAAATAACATTCAGTGTGGTGCCGCTCAAAGCCAGGCAATATGAAGTAACCCCGCCGATGCACTGAGAGTGGGAGCGGGCATCCTGACACTTATTCAGGAGTATAGATTTACAAGGAGAGATGGGCGCCACTCTAGCAGCATCCATCTCTCCTTGCAAATAGCAGTCACTGCTTATTCCAAACAAATGGAAGTGAGGGGGGGAAAAGGAGAGGTTCAGGAGCTCACACAGAACATTGTGCGCAGCCAGAAAAATACAGTTAAAGCGATATTAAACCCAGGGCCCTGCATTCACTATATCTGGTCTCTCACAGTACACACAACATGGAAATGCAATTATTTTTAGTCAATATAAACTGCTAAATACCTTTTCTCATCAGCAGTTAGAGCAGTCTTGTGACTTCAGCAGAGCACTAGTTAAAGCTTGTAGGAGGAGTTTTCTTTCTGCTCAAGAAGAATGCAGAACCCCTGACCCTCTGTCTGGACAGTGCTGATTGGCCTTGTGCTGATCACATGCACTCTCCCAAGGAAAAAAAAACCTCTCTAGCAACACACACACCACACTGAGCCACCACACTGAGCATGTGCATGTGACTGCGGATTCAGTCTGTATCAGGTGGACATTTCAACAAGAGGGGCAGAAACAAAAGGATCAAACAACATTTTTACACAATGCAGAGGATTAACCCCTTAGGTTCCACAGTGAGTATAAGAAGCATGCTTTACTGCATATACAGACTGATTTTCACTGTTGTGGGTTTAGTAACACTTTAAAGTGTTAGTTCACCTTTACCAGAAACCACCTGCCTATGCAGATAAGGGGTGTCCATGGATAATACTGTGTGTCTCTGACTAAAGTTGAATAATGTCCTTGCTATAGGTGTAGGCCTTTTATGTACCTCATGAAGCCTGACTGGAATACTCTCAGGATGTTACTAGGAAGTTGCTAAGTGAGGTCTAGTCATTGCTGCTCACCTCCACCATCACAGGAGTGAGCTTTTTCTCTAAATTAAAGCCCCTCACATGCTCTCTCTCTCTCCCCTGATACAGTAGTTCTGAGCTCAGCATCTGAGAGCTCACTCCTGTGATGGTGGAGCTGATCAGTAATGACTAGGCCTCACCTAGCAACATCCTAGGAATTTTCCAGTCAGGCTTCTGGAGGTATGTAAATGGCCTACACCTATAGCAAGGGCATTATTCAACTTTAGCGAGAGCTGCCCAGTTTACAGATACCCCTTATCTGCATGGGCAACTTTTTGGTAAAGGTAAACGATCCAATTAAGCCAGCTACACATTGACCATAATTTGGCCTATTCAGCAGGGAGTGACTGAATTCCAGTCAGTGTGTGAATGTCCCCAATCATTTGTTCAACTTCTGCACAGCTGCACCAGATTTTGAGTGCTCCAATTTTTAGTAAATCCCCCTCTGTCATGCAAAAAAACTCTCCTCTATAACTAGTACTGCGTAAGTTATTTCAGCAGATGATCACCAAGAATATACATTGGGTCCTAGGCTTCTTTCCTAATCTATAATACAAATACCCCCCCCCCTTTCCTTATCTCCAATACATAAGGGGAGGTTTCTTTTGGCTGTAAGGGATTATATCCAGGGCTTCTTTTCCTCAAAGAATAGGTGCAGGAACTCCCCTTTTTATTACAGAATACAGAACCAAATATCATATTGTTGTGCTTAGCAATTTGGAATTTGTTAAAGTAAAATAGATCCCCTGCAGCCAGCAACAATAGAACCCCAGGCAACAAAATATCCCCCCCAGCAAAATAGACCCCCAGCAGCAACATGAAAGCTCTAAATTCTCCAGCAGCCAGAAATAAAACCCCCTCCCTCAACAGTAGATCCCCCAGCAACAAATTACCCCCCAGAAAGATAAGACTCCCCCTAGCAACAATAAATCGCCCCGTCCGCAACAGTAGACCCACACTCAAAAATAGATCCCCTTCAGCAATGCTAGATCCCCTAGCAGCAAGCATCAATAGACCCTCCAGCACATCCCTGAACCCCTTGTCATTTTATACATCCAGTGCTGGAGGTGCCGGAACTGCATTCCCCCATGTTCCCACTGAAAAAAAGTCCTAGTTATAACATTCAGTTAGTCAGTGCTAGTCAGTTGCATTGATGGCTGCTATCTTCTAGTTCCTACAAGTGGCTGCCCCACTGCATACTGACCTCTGGGGGTCACTCTCTCACCGCCATCACTATCCATGGAACACCTTGTATTTTTTTTCAATAAAAAATTTCACAGTACAAGCAGTTAGACAAGTGAGTGAGGGCTTGTTTAATAGCCTCCCGCCCACCATATAAGGAAATGACGGGCGCAAGGTGGTTCTCTCTTTCTGGGAGGACGTCATATGACATCCTCCCACTCTAACGGTGCATGCGCGGCTCTGGGAGCACGCAGCGTGGTGATCGGTGGTGCGCTGTGTCCCCCGGACACAGTGGATCACTGAATGAAAAGAGCCGAAGCTGTCGGCTCGGTCATGTGAGCAACTGTGTCCAATCACAGCTGATCGCATGTAAATAGGGAAATGCCGGCTATCTCCTCGTGAGGAGAGGAGAGCCGGTAATCGGCATTCCTCAGAGGGGACATGTACACTGATCATCAGGGCACTGATGATCAGTGTGCCCTGATGATCAGTGTAGCCCCAGCAGTGCCACCTGTCAGTGTCCATCAATGCCAGCTGTCAGTGCTCATCAATGCCACCTGCCAGTGCCCATCAGTGCCACATCAATGCCACATATCAGTGCCTACCAATGCACATCAATGCCAGATATCAGTGCCCATCTGAGTTGCCTTTCAGTGTCACCTATCAGTGCCAGTCAGTGCCACCTATCAATGCCAGTCAGTGCTATCTATCAGTGCTGCCAATCAGTGCCACCTAACAGTGCCCATCAGTGCCACCTAACAGTGCCAGTCAGTGTCACCTAACAGTGCCAGTCAGTGCCGCCTATCAGTGCCAGTCAGTGCTGCCTATCAGTGCCACCTATCAGTGCCGCCTATCAGTGCCATATATGAGTGCTGCCTTTCAGTGTCCATCAGTGATGCCTGTCAATGCCCATCAGTTCGACCTACCAGTGCCTCCTCATCAGTGCCCATCAGCGCCCATCAGTGCAGCCTATCAGTGCCCATCACTGCAGCCTCATTAGCACACATCAGTGAAGGTGAAAAATCACTTATTTACAAAATTTTAAAACAAAAAACTAAGAAAAAAAACTTTTTTTTCAAAATTTTCAGTTGTTTTTGGTTTGTTTAGCAAAAAAATAAAAACCCAGAGGTGATTAAATACCACCAAAAGAAAGCTTTATCCATCTCAAAAAAAAAGATAAAATTTCATATGGGTGCAGTGTTGCATGACCGAGCAATTGTCATTCAAAGTGTGATAGCGCTGAAAGCTGAAAACTGGCCTTGGCAGGAAGGGGGTATAAGTGCCCTGTAGGCTAGTGGTTAAAGCTCTTTTACTGCTTGATAGGAATATGTAAATAGTTAACACCCCCGTCACATCAGGTGTGACTTGGCATACAATTTGCATGCCATGCAACTTGCAAATTGTATACCAACTCGCACCCTATTGTCTGCAATTACAGCAGTCAAATCAGTGCTGTTCTGACTTGGTCAGAGCCACGCCAATTTCTAAAGTAGTACATGTACTACTTTTGGTGCGATTTGCATAGACATCTGTGTTAGATGTCTTGCAAATCGCACCTGAAATCGGCATGTCCCCATACTTTGAAATTGCACGACTTCACTGTAAGTTGCACGATTTCAAAGTCGGGCTTGATGTGACCGGGGGGTTAATGTCCATAATCTTGGCACAGGTGTTCTTGAAAAGCATGGTGTATTACATCAATTAATAGAACTCAGAAAACCAGTAAACATTTACTTTATTGGAAATAACACTTTGTAACAAGTTGTGCAACAGTAGCTATGTAGAATGTCCACGTATCTCAATGATGAGAACATTTTCCCCAAGAAGTACTTTATAAAAAGTTGTAATAAACATTTCTTCTTTCAGGCATTTTAGATTTAGCTTCAAACTCTGGACACAGAACTATTTTGCAAGATATTCAGCTGTTTTATCTCTTTAAACTGGCAAAGTCAAGTTTGTCAAACTTTATTAATAGATGTCATAACATTTGTTTTACTATTACTATTAGGTTTCTCTCTTTGCAGGATGGACTGTTCTTGATTACAATATGCTCCAACATACTTGTGAAATTAAATAGATTTATTCAAAGGTTTTTTTCAGTTTCTTGCACAGCTACAGTGCCAAATAAAATCTATCCACTCCCTGACTTCTGCTGCCAGGTATTAAAGGTAGGAGAGGAAGTGATGGGAAAATTTCCAATGGTGACACAGATGAAAACATTATTATTGGAATAAGGAAAAATTACAGCCTCATTTACACTTGCGGATGGGGGGAGGTAAAAATACAAAGTTTAGCCACATTTGTACCAGCCCCCAACCATAATATGACATGTCCATCGCAAGGTCTGGATGTGTGGAGATGTCATATTACATGCGTTGGAGGTGAGGGTTCTGTCAGCATGGAGTGGCACTGTTATTAGCATGAAAATTCATATTCACTATGGAATTTCAGTCACAGTGTTGAATCATGTGATATTTGGAAACTTATGAACTCATTTATTGAAAGCACTTTAGTATCTTTATTCACGCTATTCATTTATTTATATTTCAGATCATGTGATATTTGAAAATTTATGAACTCATTTATTGAAAGCACTTTAGTATGTTTATGCACATTATTATTAATTTACATTTATGGTCTATGTTCTTGGTCATTTATTCACATTATGATTATGAGCACAGTTTATTCACCTGTATTGTTTACTAGTACTCATTGATGTCCATTAACACCGCTACATCACCTTTAATTAATTGACCTATATAAAATAAAGATCTCTTATTAAGTTCATGATAACACATTCTGTCTACAAACATGCTCATACTCTCAGAGGAGTTCATGTTAAGACAGCCAGTCTACCTGTGTGCACTTAGCCTCACTATGTAATCCAAATGTTCATAGACAAGCTCCTTGACCTGGTAACTATTTATTTGATAAATCATTGTAAACATTTACTGTTATTGTTCAAGAATGGCCACAAACATTGAAAATGGGCATGCACTGTCTGAAAGCCTCTGTTGCACTAATATCAATAAAACACCTATGGAGATTTTAAAATCTGAGCTCTGTTTTCTTGAAAGCAACTCCTCCCTCCCCCCCCACACATTTCCGATCACAAGACACTATACTCGCCTTTCCTGTGATCCCTCACTGCTCTTTCCTCCTCCATATGTGTCTCAATACTGTCACAATACCTAGCTTACTTAGCTTTCAAGTATGGAGGAACATGTGATCCCCCCCCCCCCCCCCCACATGACAGTGTTCACCCAGCCAACCATTAAGGTAAGGAAGAGCTGAGTAGAATGCCTTAAGGTAAAAAAAGTTTCTACCTTTAGAACCACTTTAAATCCTGATTGCAATAGTCACCAGGAAAATAGTGTGAAGCTCCCTGCCAGGGACACTGAAAGCAATAGAGAGAGAGGTTTTAAACATTTCTCACCAAAGAGAAAGTAAAAAAAATACATGTTGGCTTTAGCTAAACTTTAATTTTTTTACTAATGATCATATTTAATTATGATAATTACCCTATATTATGTTATATTCCTGTGATAGTTTTGGGCAACAAGCACTGTTTCTCCTTTCATATATTTTTAAACAATGGGACTACTGGGCAAGCTAAAATTGGTCTATCCAGTTGTGGCTTGGTATGTTTTGCAGTATCATGATTTTAATATGATATTGTAAGCAGAGTTAAGCCAGCCATACATGGATCGAATCTTGGCCAGTTCAGCAGGGCCAAGCCAAATTTTGATCCATCAAACACAAATGCTCCTGTGCTTGGGGATGGACTCGATGCAGGCTACAACCACATTAAGAATGTCCTGGAACATGCACACCTTGCTGCCCTCAAATAGACCGGGGAAATCCAAATATACTGAATGGGGAAAGAAAAAACAGAGGGCGCACAGGCCTAGTGCATTACCATAAAAAATGTTTAATAATAAATAAAGTATGTGTTGTACTCACAAACGACAATATAGTCAAGGCACGTCATAAAAGAACAGCTGGGTCAACACCGCGCTGAGTAACAGTCCGCAATAGGGAGTATAGACATCCAAAAGGCTGATGCGTTTTGAGGACTTGCCTCTTCCTCAGAGCCAACTGACCAAATGTCTGCAGACATGTTTTTTCTTTCCTCATTCAAATTTTGATCCATGTATGGGCAGGATCAATCTGGTTTTTCCCAATTGATCAGTGCCGCCGGCTATAGCAGACAACACTGATCAGCCTATTCTGACAACGGGGAAATCTCCCCACTATCAGAATACAAAGGTTCAGTGGGAGGATTCCCCACATCCATATTGAGTGTGTGAATGGGGGAATTGAGTGTTTTGTTTTTTTTAACCTGCTGGTTACTAATGTATTAGCTGTCTAAGGCTAGGTTCACACCTATGCAGTTTGTGTTTGATCCTTATCTGCAGTGCATTTTGTGGTGCTTTTTGCTGGGAAGATTAAAACGCATCAAAAAGTCCATAGAACCAAAAATGCAACGTTTTTCATTTAATAAAGTCCCTGACCCTTTCCAAAAAATGCACCGTGTGAAAACACGGAGATGTGAACCTGTCCCATAGAGAATCATGTTAAATGGACTGCTGTGCATTTCGCTGCAGCGGAAAACGCATAGGTGTGAACCTAGACTAAAGAGATTTAGTTAAGATAGATTGTGTAATATAAAAATAACTTTTTTTTTATAGCAGACCATTGTTGGTAACATACCTGAATGGTGTGATTTCCAATATATTTGGAGCACTCAGGCTGTTTGCAAATAATGTAACATCTGATGACCACCATTTGCCAAACTCAATAGTAAAGATTTTTATAGCCTATATTTCAAATTGTGTTTAAAAGATAAGTTTACCTTTGGTAACATGTTACATGTTACACCCATTTTCAGGATGTAACATTTTATGATCTGACCGGATCCCGCTCCCCCCCAATCCCCGCTTTGACAGCTAGAGGGGGATCTTTTCCCCCCTAGCTAGCTGTTAAATTAAAAAAAAAAAATCTGTGAATGAGTGACTACAAGTCCCTGTTAACTTGTAGTCCTCAATTAACTACCATGGCACTGTGGAGTGCCATGGTAGTTGATTGATTCTTCCTGTCAGTATATCTGCTTTCTCGTACATCCCGTACGGGCAAGCAGATATTCTGACAGGTCTTCAGGAAACCTGCATGACACCAGTGATCTGTTGATCGCTGGTGCAATCAGTGGTGTATTTAGGTTTTGTGCTGCCCTAGGCAACACAAAGATTGGATGAACACTGACACACATCCCCTCCCCCTCTGAGAGAGAGAAAAATACACACCTTCACAGCTCTGTACATCTCTGGGAACAAGAGTCAGGCTCTGCATACACCAAGCAGACCTTGGCCTCTTTCGGATACCACCTGGTCCCTGTGCCACAAGTGTCCCTTCTTCCAGGGGGCGGTGCTGCCCCCCTGAAAAATGCCGCCCTAGGCAAATGCATTGTTTGCCTTTTGGTAAATACGCCCCTGGGTGCAATGGTTTCCAGACTCCTGCTGACAAAAATAATAAATGTAAGTTTTTTTTACCTGCAAAAAAATGTGCGTTTATTATTTTTGTTGAAAAGGTGAACTTATCTTTAACTACATACACATTCACTTACTTAACTAAATAAGTGAATGTGTGAAGATCTTTACAAAGTATGTTTAAAAACTTCAAGATCTTCAAGATTATTAGGAGTAGGCTAGAAATAATTAAATATCCACAATGTGTAATTGAATATGTGATT